CCGCCGGCCATCTCACGTCGGTGAGCCGAGCAACGGGCCTGACCCACAGTATTTTGTCCTATCTGCTTCACTCCCCATCCGTTTTCTGATCATCGTGTTGGAGATGTTGTCGCGATGTAAGATACGCAACATTCATTCTTCTTTCCATGGCTCTCTCAGTGACAGATAGTTGGAGCTCGTCGGCTTTCGACCATGTCTAACAACCATACAACATCGCCAGTAACACAGTTGAATTGAAAAAATGAGCGCAGGTTTCTTTCGTCCCTTCCAAGAAAACGTCTTGATAGAATGGCACGAACGCCAAACGGCCCTCTATCTCCTTCGAATTTCTCCAACCCGGTCATTCCGCAACGTGCACATATTACAATGTAAAGAATGCGACCACTGACATGTAAACAGGTGCGAAGTGTAACAGTGTTTTCCTGGGAAACAGGAACTTTATATAAAATAGTCATAGAAGAAGACGACCGGCTTATGTTTCACTTGATCTATGCAAACACTCGGCATGCATGCCACCTGGCATTAGTCTGCCAGAGCCGTATAGTTACAAAGCTAAGCATGATTGGGATGAAAGGGCCATGTGTAGGTAATTTATGCAAATTGTACAATGGAGTCGGACGTCAGCCACTGAGGTTTGAACTTAAGGTACATAAATGAGCGGAAAACTACGGTTTACAGCTTCAATGAGCAAAGTCAAAACAAACATAATATGGAACTTTCACCTCGAGAAGTTGACGCTTCTGCAAATGCTATCTTCTGCTGCACCTGTTCTGCTTCATGATTCAGAAACTATGACCCAGTACAAATACAACAGATTACGGTCGGCCATCTGCTGAAATGCCAAAAGCAGCTTTGGGCATCAAAAGATGAATTTCATTCGCAATGCCGAAATTAGAAGGCAAACCGGCTGAATTATGCGAAACTGACGGGACGTTTCTTTCCCGACTTCTGAAACCTTTGATGCAACCTTTCAATGCAGAATGCAAGAGCCTTTTATGGAATATATTAAATATGGTAGGCGATAACGAGTAGTCATGAGCACTCCTTTTGCATCGGCGAACGAGTCAGTCAGAAGACGTGACACTGACACCATAGATTCCTGTTTTTTGATACTGTTGATCATATGCGACGGACATTCCATGTTAAACACAGTAGGTCGAAATTTAGCATGGTTAAGCGAGTCAAAAGCCTTGGCTTAATTCTTAAAACAGAATTCCAATAGTTGGTCTAATTCCCACGGTTATTCCATAATCGCTCTGATGTTTGAAGTACAGTCTTTAATACTCCTCTTGACTCCAAATCTTCCCTGTTCAAAAGTAACCTCGTCTTCACTTTGATACACATTAGGGTTTTTAGTAGTGACAGCAGGATCTTTCCAGCGTGAGAGACTTAAGAAATCGTCCATAGGTTCGAACAATCAGTTGACCAGTCGTTCTTTGAAAATGATGCGAAAACGACGCGCTTCTGGACTGTATTCCATGGGCCATTTGTTCAAACATCCTCCTTGAATTTCCGTCAACTATCTAATTGTAATAATGCAAGAAAGCCATCAGGTCCGAAGGTTTTCGAGATTTAGTTTCTGGGCAGCGTATTCGATGTTACACTGTGTAGCCTGCGAGAGTCTTTTGGTATAACTTCTCGCAGTACTCGTTCAACTTGTTGATCATCTGATCTTCGTTTGTCGATAATTTGCCGTCGTCGACTAAATTAAACACAGACATGAAATCAAACCTTCGGTGAGAGCTCGAACGGTTCGATACAATTCACGTATGTGGCTCTCAGACGGAATTGGCTGATGTGGTCGCATAGGTTTTCTGCTATCTGGTTCTGTCTCCCGTGGACAAGCTTTGGATTTGAGGAACAACTTCGACATAATCAGTAGACATCTTTCTATCTTGATTTTTACCTTCCCCAATTTTTCTACCAGTCATAGTACTTCGTTGGAAATACATCGCTGTACTAGTACATTGTTGTTTCTTGTAACTAGTGGTCTTTTTAGCTGCATTCAAAAACAGTGTTTTCAAGTTCATCAATCGATTTTCATATGGGCTCAGAGTTGAATGTTCTTGAGACACATGATGAAGCGGTTGCTAATTTCGAGAGCAAATCATTCATTCAGCTTTCCAGATCTATGCGAACCATTCATTTTGCCGATATCAAGTTTATAAAAGGATTTCTAATTTTGTCATTAGCAGCAGTTGATATCCCCAGAAAAGTTTTGCAGTTTAGGATACTCGCATAACCCTGAGGTTTTAGAGAAACTGGCACAAATGGATAGCCACTCTCAATCTTAATGACACTAGAATATAGTGGAGCTGTACGAACGGAAATGGCACTTTCTCCAATTGTGGCGCTGGAATAAGGTGACTGTTACAGTCAGTAAATTAGAGGTACAAAAGTACCGTAGTTTTCTTCTGCTTCATTCGTCTAGCCCAATCCGTAGAGTCATAATTCATTCATTCGCTTCCATTCCTTGCATTGAAATTACCCATCACCAACAGAATTTCTTTCTACTACAGCGTCCGGTAGGTTTTGCATATTTTCGCATGACTTATCCATCTGTTCTTCGGCAGCGGCAGATGTTCAATAAAAAAACACCTAGAAGAGAATGGTGTTAACAGGGAGAGGTTGCAGGCGGTCATTCGTAAAGCTGTACTCAAGCAGGCAGCTGACTGCGGTTTATAATTCAGAAAGCGACGCCCTTTTCATCGGTGCAGATCTTTTATATAGTATATGAACATGTACTTATTGGCTGTCCGTAAAATTCCGTTTCCAGTCCATCGAACATCAGACAACAGGCTTGTGACGGTCACT